ATCGCATATCCAGATGGAGCACACGACACACAAGCATTGTCAACTCTCTTGTTGCCGACTTCGCACGATGTACAAGCACCACTTTTTCTGTCACACTTTTTACATTCAGTGGAACATTGCTGGCACTGCAAAACGCCGCCTTCTGAGTATGTGAGGTCGCCACACAACGTACACACTCCATTGTCAAAGCCATATCCAGCAGCACACGTGAGACATTTACCATTTGTTGCATTGCAACTTGCACACGACGAGTCACACAACTTGCAAGTGGTTTGTCCCTCAACGTCTTGGTATTCCATATCACTACAACTCTGACACACAGAACTCGTGTAGTAAGTCCCCCTTGGACATATGGCACACTTCCCAATCGCAAGACCATACCCAGTCACACAGTTGACACAATACCCATTCGTCGCATCACACCCATCACATTTCGTGTCACATTGCTGACATGAAGACGAGCCGGCAGCTGAGTATGTCATTTCTCCACAACTCTTACACTCAGAAGAGCCTTCACCAGCATAGGTACCCGCCTTGCATGTGTCGCATTTGTTTGTTGTTTGGTTTGCCATTGTTCCAGAATTGCACAATGAACACACTCCATTTGATATAACAGCACCACTTACACAAGCGTTACACTTGCCATTTGTTCTATCACATGGCCCTTGACACAGAACATTACACGTTTTGCAACTTGTTGATCCTGTTGTGTTGGCATAAGTCCCATCTACACAAGGATCACATTGCAAACTTTTTGGTGATGGCGAGTAAGTTCCAAGTGAACAATACTCACATTTATTTGCAACACTGTATGTACCAGTACTGCAAATAGAACATGTTGTTGTTGTAATTCCCATACCCGACTCACATGACGTGCAATATCCATTTGTCTTATCACAACTCAAACACATCGAACTGCAACTTTTGCACGTTGTGCTTCCTGCAAATGAGTATTGCATGTCGGGACACGTTACACAACTTCCACCACTTTGGTACGTGCCAGCCGAGCACGTGTCACATTTTCCATTGTTTAGAGCATAACCGTCATAGCAAGATAAACAGTTTCCATTTGTTTGGTCGCACGTTTTACAACTTGTGGAACACGTTGTACACCCACTTGAACCACCAAGTGAGTAATACCCAGTCGCACACTTTGAACACAACGAAGTTCCACCACTCGAATAATACGATGCGGGACATATTGAACAGTTCTTATTTGACGAATCGTACGAATAGCCAACATTACATGAAGTGCACTCCCCCGTCGTTATTGAACACACTCCACAACTTGTGGAAACGCATTGTACACACGTCGAACTTTTAGTTGTGGAATAAAACCCATCTGCACATGGTTCACAAGAAGAACTACCCTCTTTAGCCGCATAAGTCCCTGCCAAACAATTGAAACAATAAGCACTTCCAATGTTGGAATATGTACCTTGTTGGCACTTTAAACAGTTTGTTGACGCTAAAAGTGAATTTGAATATGTTCCTCCAGCACACGCTGTGCACGAAGCACTGCCAGAAGATTGGGAATAATACCCACCAGGACACGAAGTGCACGTTGTTGCTCCTTTATTAGAATAATACCCAGCATAACATGATCGACAAGATGCTGACCCACTATTAATTGAATATGTTCCTGCATCACATGGTGTACAACTTGATGATCCTGAAGAAGAATAATAGCCAGAATTACAAGTTGAGCATGTAGAAGACCCAGACGATGACGAATAGGTACCAGAGTTACAATTTGTGCATTTAGAAGACCCGGATGATGAATATGTACCAGCTGAACAAATGGTACATGTAGAAGCTCCACTAGTAGAATAATGCCCCGCACTACATTTTGTGCACGAAGAAGCACCACCAGCAGAATACGTTCCTGCTGCACAATTTGAACATGAAGTCGAACCATAATTCGAAGCACATTTACCAGGATTACACTTTGTACATGATGATGACCCAGAACTTGAAGCATAATATCCAGGAGAACACTTTGTACACGACGAAGCACCAGAGCCTGAATACGAACCAGAAGAACATGAAGTACATGATGTCGTTGTACCACCCGAGGAATAAGTCCCTGCTTGACAAGAATAACAAGAAGTTCCAGAAAGGTATAGCCCACTACTACATGATGTCGCGGCAAACACATTCGTAGTTAATAAAAATATATAAAACATCAAATTTGTAATTTATTTAATTGAATTAAACAAGTTTATTTTGTAAACTTTCATGTGTTTATTTAAAAATATAATTGATATAATTAAATATATTGTAATAATATAAATATATTGTTCAATTATAATACAAATTCACAACTATTGTAAATACATGCTTCAACATTGGAACTGTTTTATATTATGCAAAACATGAAAAAATAACAAATCATAATAATTATTATAAGTTTTTTAAGTTTTAGAAAAAAGTTAGTTTTTGAAAGTTGAACGAAATCAAGTTATTTAATAATATATAAAGTCAGTCCGATAATGATGTTCACCTCAGAATCTTCTAAATAACGGCTAAATCTTCTTCAAAAATGTAAATATTATAATAAAACACCAATAACTTCACTAATAACATTTTCTTTTAATATTATGTTTTTCTTTTTCCAAATCAAAAAGAACATAAAAACAATAAATTCAGATAATTTCAAGATCTTCTCGTTTTTTGGTCGAAATCAACAAACGCCCCGGGAACCATGCCGAAATGACGATCTCAAGTTGAGACCATTCAATCGGCGAGAGTTGGCGGGTTTCCACTTGTTGGGTTGAATATGGGGAGGTTTACCGTCGGGTCATTTCGGCACGTAGCCGCAATTAGTTTGTTAATATATATTTACAATTCAATTCAATTTAATACAAAGAACAAACATCTTATGTTTTTAGTTCATAAAGAATGTTTAAGTTCTTTAAAATCAAGGATAAAACTATAAGTGTTTTGTTGGCTTTGTTATTCACTCTTTATTCCTAATGATAAGTCTGTATTATTTTAAGGGGTTTTATAGAATAATTGATAGTTTTGTATAGATTGTTATAATAATTTTATTTATCATTCAATTTAATGATAAATAAATAAAGTGACACACCAAGTATTTTATCGGATTTAAATTCAACTCAAATACATTTTACTGCAAGTTTTATTAATTTTTTTTTATTATTCGTTTTCGTTATATTTTTCAATAATAAACAGTTAAAAATGTAAAAATCTATTTAAAACCATATTTTAACTATAAAATACTTATAAATAAAACTTTAATTGATGAATTTAAAGCTTTGATTCTTTTTGTTTTTACAAAGACCAAGTGAAAATATAAATAAAATTTAAAAAAGTTTTTTATATTAAACAGAAAAAAACTATAAAATATGAAACTCTTAATTAATCATTTAGAGTTGTCCTTATTATTTATGCCCAGCCGAGCCAAAGTAAGGTTTGTTCTTTATATTGATTTATCTTCCGTTGTTTAATACGTTTAATAATCATCAATCATTTACTGAATGTCTAACATTCCTATAATTCATTTATAATTTTGATAAAAAACATTATTTTTATAAAATGTTTTTACTTAAGATGTATGTTATATTATACTATTATATGCTATAATTTATAATTATAATTATTATGCTTATTTATTAGTTTATAAAATTATTATTATATTAAGAATAATTATTCAAACATCAACTTATTCTTTAATAAATAACAGTGTTCAGACACACAACATTCAAATAGTGTATTTAACATGTTGTTAACAGCTTTTTATTAACAACAAAACTCACTCTTGATATCCAAGAATGTGTTCAATAAAGTTGACTTAATTAATTCATAAAACTAAAACAATATTATAATTTACTATCAATAAAACTATTTATTTTTCATTTTATTTTCAAAAAAATCAACAACCTTACAATTATAAATGTTGTGCATTTACCTATCATTCATTTCAATTTATTTATTCAATAAATGTTATCAAAGAGTCCATCACAACAATTTGAAATTCCAATTTTTCAAAATAAAAAAATATAAATTATTTTAACAGGGATTCGTTTTTTAACTTTTTATAACACATATTTTAACACATTACCCTTTATGACGAACAATAATATTATAACCTTATCCCACGTGTATCATATATAACACTTTGTGTTTAAACATATTGAAATAAATATCATCGTTAAGAGAAACGATGACCATTTTTTAGATAAATACAAAAACAAAGGTCTTATTTTTCGTTCCAAAAAAACAAAAATTATTGCAAATTTTACCCGTCACTTCGCAACGGGTTTGTTTCAAAACAATATTTGTAAAACATTATTTTTAAAATTTACAAATACAATACTTGACTTACAAAAAGCGTTTATATTATTGGCCAGTTAATAAATCCATTTTCCTACTACAAACAAATAAATCAAAATTGTTCCAAAAAATGAGCGAAAACGGAAAATCAAGGGTTTTTGTTCTAATGAATAATAACAATAAATATTAATTGATTATGTTTTACATTGTTTTAATTTCGAAGTTTTGGAGCATTCCCAAACTAGTTTATAGACCCCCTATAAAATAAACTTTAAAAAACGGAAATTTATTTAATAAACTCGAGATTTCCCGATTTTTAGACCCCTTTAATTTTGTTCAATGTTATCTAAAGTGTTAAAAGACTGACTCCATATTTATTAATAATAATATATATGTTTTTTTAATTAATAATAATTTATACAAACACATTAAAAGTTATTTTAACGAAATAACCGTTAATAGAAAAAACTTTTAAATCAATATCAAAAAATAATTACTTCTAAGATATTAATTCTTTTATAGTTTTTGACTAACCATGAAAAACATGATTAATTAAATCGATTATTTAATTGTCAAAAGTTTAATTCAAAATTACATTAAAAAATTTTTTAACCCACTGAAGTGCCTAATTCCCATAAGACCAATATTGTAAAAAAAGTAGTGTTTTTTTGAAAAAAAATATATTATAAAGTTCAATTATAGTTGAAATTAAATGAAATAATAAATTCAACCCGTAATCTAAATACACTACAATCAATTGTTATTTATGGAAAAAACTTTTCCCAACACCCAGAGTTTCCCAAAGTAATCAAAAAACGGTAGCAGATTTGATTTATTTTTGGTTCTTCCAAGCCTTCTCAAAACTGTTAAATAAATTAAAGATCAAGACGTCAAAAACATATTTCATTTTTTTCCTTTGAATAAAGTAAAAATACAAAAATAAACCTAAAGTTTTATTTTAGATAACTATTTTAAACAATTTATTATTCATTAAAATATAGTTTTTTGTTTTATATGAAACTACTATTAAATATATATATTTAAATTAATTATTTAACTAATGTAAAAATAATAAACCTTAATTTATTGGTAAAATAATAAGCATAAAAATCCCGATTTTGTATTTACAAAAATTGTAAAATATTTAAAATTTCAAAACATTTAAATATAAATAAAAACACCAAACTCGCTTAAAAACCACTTATTGCCAGACCAAATTTTAAAAATGTTTTTTATATTTAAATTATATATAATAAAAACATATTTGAGAAAAATTAAAACAACTAAGATATACCATTGAAAATAAAAAACCGTGTATATAATAAAAATTATTAAAAATTTAAATGAGTTTTTTAATCTTTTTGAATATGCCATTTGAAAAACAATTCAATTGTAAATATAAATTTACAACAATAAATTACTTTTTTAAACAAAATGAAAACCAATTATGTTAATTGTTTTAATTTATAATATATAGTTTTAAACGAGACAAGAATTGTGATTGCCATAATTATTGTTGCTTAATTATAATAAAATATTATAGAAAATGTAATTATAATTGTAATTTGTGCTATAAGAGAACGATCTGAGAACAAATATAAACAACTAAAGTTGACATGAATAAAAAACCTTTCAAGGTTCGAGAAAAGTTTTGATGTTGGCCTACCTGCCCACAATAAAGTACATGATGTTGTACGTGTGGGCTGTGGTTCTTAGTTGATTCTTGAGTTGCCAAGCCTGTAATTAATTTGTTTTTTATCTGTTGCGTTAAAATTGGTATAATAATAATTTAATAAATTAATTGGTTATTTATTTTAGAAATAACAATAAAATTGTAGCTCATATGCCCGTTCTTACAGTTAAATTTACACAAATTTACATCATTTTTTGTTTAAACAATCCAACAACATTTTAAATTGATTGGTTGTTTTTGTGGGTATTATTATTAGGATTACCACTTATTAATAGGAATTTCGCTCATTTTTATTTTTGAATCAATTAATAAAAAACAGAATTTACCAACAAACTTTTTTCCAATTATTTTTTTAAAATAAAATTTATTTTGATATGACAAAAACAAAAAATTATCAAATCTGCTTCCGTTTTTCAATACTTGGGAAACTTTGCAACACCTCTAAAATTTGATTTGTTTTTTTTCTATTTCAAATTATATACAAATTCAAAAATATAGTCTATAGGAAACTGGGAAAAAATTAAGTCTAGTTCCCGAAATTTATGGGGCAGGCTTTTCCCACCCTCATCCTGTCTAAAAATAGACTATTTTAACTATTTGATATAATTTTTTAATTATAATTATAGTAAATGGGCGTTTTGGATAATATTTGGTCATATCCCGAAATCAAGAAATGCCGAAAAATCACCTCGAGTTAGTAGAAACCGAGTGAGACAGAGCATTGATAAGAAGGCTCATAAAGACGCACTCAAACAGTCTGTTTGTGCACCATTTCACCCACTTTCCAAGTCCTCCCTTGGCGCGGATCCCCCCTGACCCCCCAGCAAGCAGGGGGAACCACACCCGCGTCCACACAGTACGGACAAGGAAAGTGGGTGACATGGGGACGCACAAACAGTGGCTGAAAAATGGACTTCCTTCAAAAAACACTCGCGGCAAATATTTTGTTTTGGTAAACGGGGTGAGGGTGGGAAAGGACAGTCACCAATTAATATTTTAATATAATAAATTATTAAATTTTAGTTGTTTATCGATATTCATTTGAAATTATTATGGCAATAAATGGCGATAATTATAATAGTTTATATTATATTATTAATTATTTTTTATTAAATTTTTAAATATAATTTAGTATATAATTATATAATTATAATATAATTATATTACAGGCAGTGAAGTGAAGGTATAATTTTCAAT